GGGGGGGGGATGCAATTGGGGTTCAGTGACTTGCCCAGAGTCACACAGCTAGGGAATGTTATGTGTCTGAGTCCCGGATTTGAACTCAGGTCCTCCTCCCTCCAAGGCCAGTGCTCTATCCACATGAAGAGCCCTACCTTAAGAAACAGTTAAAATGTAAAATAATTTGTTGGGGAAATGACCAAACAGCAGAAAAAACTCAGACTCTAGAAAGTTACTTTGGTAACAAGGAAGGTCAAAACATACACTGAGAAGACAACATAGTCAAACCTCCTATATCCAGAGCCTCCAAGAAAGATATGAATTGATCTCAGGTCATGGAAGAGCTCAAAAAGGATGTTGAAATCAAGTAAGAGAAGTAAAGGAAAAATTAAGAAGAGAAATGAGAGTGACTCAAAACAATTAGGAAAAACAGCTTACTAAAGAAGACCTAAAAAATACTGAAGAAAACAACACCTTAAAAAATAGACTAGGCCAAATGGCAAAGGAGGTCCAAAAGCTTACTGAAGAAAATAATTCCTTAAAAATTAGAATGGAGCAAATGGAAGCTAATGACTCTATGAGAAAGCAAGAAATCATAAAACAAAACCAAAAGAATGAAAAAATACAAGACAACATAAAATATCTTCTTTGAAAAACAATTGACCTGGAAAATAGATGTAGGAGAGCTAATTTAAACATTATTGGACTACCTGAAAACCATGATCAAAAAAAGAGCCTAGATATCATTTTTCAAGAAATTATCAGGGCAGAGCAGTGGCACAGTAGATAGAGCACTGGCCCTGAAGTCAGGAGGACCTGAGTTCAAATCCTGCCTCAAACCAAACACTTGACAGTTAACTAGCTGTGTAACCCTGAACAAGTCACTTAACCCCAGTTGCAAAAGAAAGAAAGAAAGAGAAAGAGAAAAGAAAAGAAAGAAGGAAGGAAGGAAGGAAGGAAGGAAGGAAGGAAGGAAGGAAGGAAGGAAGGAAGGAAGGAAGGATCATAGAGGAAAACTGCCCTGATATTCTAGAACCAGAGGTTAAAATAGAAACTGTAAGAATCCACCAATCACCTCCTCAAGGAGATCCCAAAAGGAAAACTAGAAGGGACATTAGTAAGCCTTAAGTCTTAGCCCCTTGTTTCATACATGAGGAAACTAAAGTCTAGAGAGAGAGATTACGTAACTTAAACAGTATCACACGGGTAGCAAAACAGTATCACACAGGTAGCAAGTGGCAGAACTGGGATTCAAATTCAGATCCTCTATCTCTAAATCCAGGGCTCCCTCCACTGTATTAGATTCTTCCTCTTAAAGGGAAGAATTCAAACAAGCAGTACTGGTTTGAAAATACATGCATTCTGTTGCTACATTTAAGGTTTTATCTTTTATAAACAACCATACCCAAACCATCTGGTTAAAAGATGGCTAAGGTGGAAATCAGAATCCTTTTTTCCTCAAAGAAACTGGTCCCTAAGCAATAATAATCCGTGCTTCATTGTAACTCTTAACTTGTGAAGTCAACTCATCTTGTGATGTTTCTTTAGCAGTCAAATCTAAGAATGAACTTGGGGGGAAGATACCAAGTATAAATGAAAATCACACATGATTCCCAAACCTTTAGGTTTATGGTTTCAAATCTCCCATCTCTTCAAGTGCTTGTAACTAAAGCTGCTAATGAATAGTAAGTTTCAATCATGAAGTTGGTCACCAGGTGACAAATCGTTTTGGCCACAGCAACCATCTCCTAAAGTATGGAGGGATTTTGATATCTTTTGGTAGAGCAAGTGCCCAATCATGTTGAAATCACAGCTCCTTTAAAGTATTGTTTTAGTAACTTATTTCTCCTGCCTGTAGCCTTTGAATGAGCAGGGCTCCAAGGCAGGAAAAAAGAAGCAATTAGATCTGGATAACATATTCAGTCAATAAAATCTACCTCTGGTTTTGGAGTGTAGCTATATCCCATCTAACCTCTTACAGTATTACACGGGTTCTAGTCCCCTTACCATCCTGGTTACCCTACTCTCTAGAAAGATTTCAGCTTCTCAAAGTCATTCGTAAAATATGATAGATAGAATTACATATCTTACTCTGGTTGTGGCTTACCCAGGGCAAAGTACTGTACAATGGAAACATTACCTCTCATATGCTTCTTTTAATGAGCCATCAGATCAAATTAGTTTTGGGGGAGTTATCTCCTTGCTGACCTATATTTTCCTTGAAGAATACTAGAATCCTTAGTTATTGTTCAGTTTGTTTTTCACGAAAACTCTCAAGCTTGCCTATTCCATTGGCTATTTATTTTTCAAATTCATCTGGGTAGCACTTGAAACATCTCTTCACAAGGAGTCCCTGAATGCTACCTCAGGCTGGAGGCATTGCTGTGGGTATGTTCAACATTCATTCAAACCCATAGTTCATGAGCCTTCATCAATGTATTTGTCACCTGGAGGATATATTAGTTCAAAGTAGAACATGTTGATTAAACAGTATATACTAAAATATGTGATAAGCAAAATTTCTACAGACCCACAAAGATGCAGTCTTCCGCAGGGGAGAGGGGACTTTCACAGAAAACAGATCTGACCAGGAACACAGACAGTGGGATGGCATCCACATGTAGCCAGGACAAATCCATACTTCCAGTGCTCTCTGGTTACGTCATTAGGTAAGCTGCTTTTTACATTGTACATGGGGCATTTGCTTCTCTGTTATCTCTGCTGTAAGTCTCTGTTCTGGCCATGTCCACCGCAGAATGCTTTTGTTATTGGACTCCTCCCCTACTGGATGCATCATCTGCTGGTGCTGGGCGTCTCTAGTAAGATTCTGCTGGTCTTCAGCTTTGCAGCCTCACTGGATTTCCTGCTGTTCTTTGCTGCCTTCGCTGGAGTGTAACTAATAAGTAGCCTTTCCTTAAAGCAAAGGGCTAAATTCTTTCAGTCAGAAGCCAGTCTTTGTAGACCAGTCAACTGGCAAGCAAAAGTCAGCAGATGCTGTAAAGCTAAAATTAAGTCTTTGCTTTTAATTGCTTTTCCTCTTGCTAGGCTCAGGTTCCCTGATCCTAGTGTCCCATCTGACTTGGAGTTAGAAAATACCTTCCAACTCTTGTTATGCCCCTACTTGTTAGTCTGGCTGTGTCCCTTAAAATCATCCCAGGGATTCTGTTTTGTGAGATTCCAAAGGAATATGAGGAGCTGGGAGGAAGAGACTGCTTCAAACTCAGCATCCACTCAAAACACAGTTCATGAGCCTCCATCAAGGTGTTTCTTTTGTCAGTCAATCAGAGGACATACCAGTGCAAAGAAAAAGTCATTAATTAAACAGCTTAGCAATATATGTGATAACAAAAGTTTTTCCATACACACAAGGATACAATCTCCCTTGGGTTAACATAACACCAGTGGTAGAAGGGACCACACAAGGAACAACTATGGCAAGGAACAGATATGACTGGGAATTCTCCGAGTTGCCATGAAAATCAACTTGTGGCAAAGCACAAAGGTCCACGTGCAGTCCTGGTAGCTGGTGGGTACCCTAATTATTTGGTTATAAATTCTGCCTTTGTTATATATTCCTGCAAGAAAATCATTGGTTTCTTTATGTTCCTGTTACTCAAATACTTGAAGACAGTGGAACCACCATACTTGAACTCTGATATCACAGTCCCAGATGTTCAAATAAGGGAGGTAGAAATGTCATTAAAGGGGCAGCTAGGTGGCGCAGTGGATAGAGCTTCGCCCATGGGGTCAGGAGGACCTGAGTTCAAATCCAGCCTCAGACACATAACACTTCCTAGCTGTGTGACTCTGGGCAAGTCACTTAACCCTGATTGTCTCACCAAAAAGAAGAAAAGCCACAAAAGAGAGCAAAGACAAGAAAAGCAGATTAAATCAAGTATATACAGTGGAGGTCTGTGCTGGAGACAACCCAGTTGTGTCCATTCCAGATGACCCCATCCTATACTCTGGTGTTTGAGGGATCTCAACCTCTCAGACCCAACACCACCATGTGGCAAGACCCCAAAACTATTATCCTGGCCACCCAATGAGTAACATCTTACAAGGACTTGGTTTATGCACCCTTGGATTTTTAGCGCCCACCTTCTCCATTTTCAATCCCACACAGCCTAAGATCTCTAACTTGAAAAGGGCAAAACCCAGATTCTGGGGAAATGTCCTCTGGTTCCTTAACAATGTAGCAGAGTATCTCATGCCCTGATATGGTCACCTACATCATGAACTGATTCTCTCTAACCTTAGAGAGACCGTTCACCAGTTGGCAAAAAAGACAGCTCATAATAATGTGGATACAAATGGTGCCCTAAGGATTAAAAAGAATGTTAAGTGTTTCTTTTCCATGACTTTGTGAAGCCCCTCCTGAGTGACTTGCGTTCCTGTCCTAAACTCCTTTCCCCCTTATCTTGAAATACCATAAAAGTCCTCCTTATCTTGTAAGCAACAAGCTCCCTCATCCTCTGTCAAAGTTCTTTTGGTTTTACAAGACCTTATAAGGCCTGCGATATCCCCTTCCTGGTCCTTATCTGTTATCTCCCAGTCAGTTCCTCCAGCCTACTGGCACTTCCATCCCCATTATACAAAGGATTAGTCCAGTCCACTAAAGGGTGGATTCTTAAAATCTCCCGCACCTAGTCGGTTCTAATAAACCTTGCTTTTGGCTGAAAGAAGGCTTGGATCAAATTCGAGGCAGGGCCGGCATTGGTTTCCCTTGAATTTCGGGTCCCAGCACCCCTAGACCTCAACACTATTACTCTCCCATTTCACAGGTAAGACAATCAGGGAACAGAGAGATCGAGACGCGATCTGAGTCACCCAGTTAATAAAAGCTTTAAATGTCATATTTCAATCCCGGACTTCCTGACTCCAGATTCAGGGCTCTTTTGCGGGGATCTTCAAAAATTAAGAGTTTAAAGTTTGGCTACTAGGGCGGCTTCCTGTAGGATAGAACTGGCCCCGTTCCAACTAGGAAAAATATATTCCCGTACTTTGGACTGGATCTGGAGAGAGGGAGGAGCCGTGCGCATGCGCATGCACAGGCAGTTTCAGCATCTGCTGAAGACCTCGGAGGGTCCTGCCCCTAAAGCATCTGTGTCCTCCCGGGAAGCCCTTCCTCCAGGTGAGTGCCCGCCTCGGGTTCTGACTAAAGGTGGCCCAGGCCCTGGCGGTAAATTGGGGGAGCGAGGAAACTGAATACTGTATTTGCACACCTGGAAAATGATGTGGGGAGGCGGTGGGGCTCGAATACTGCCTCCGCCCGCCCCCCGACTTGCACCTCTGCCTCCCCGTCCTCTGCCACCTAAGGTCTGCCCCAGCTCCCTGATCCGCTCTGTTCTCAGGGCACTTGTTTGCCTTCAGGGGTCTGTATGTGGTGGGATACTTCTAGGAACTGACTGGAACCGGAGCTAGAAGAGACCTTTTAGAGATGGCTGTGGAATCTAACCCTTGCCCTCATTTTACCAAGAAGGAAACTGGGGCTCAGAGGTTAAATAATTTGCCTGCGTCAGAGAGGTGAAATGATTTGCCCAAGACCCCACTGAGATTTGAATTCGGGCCCTAGGAATCCCAAATTCTTCTTTCTTTGCCCTGCACCAGATCAAGTCAACAAACATTAAGGGCTTACATGTGCCAGGTAACAGTGTTAAGTGCTGGGGATGTGTCCTTGCTCTTAATTAGCTCCCAGTCTTGTCTAGTGAGAGACAGCATGCAGAACAAGTAACAGGTTACATACAGGATAATTTGGGGGTAGTTACAGAGGAAAGGCCATAGTATTTAGGAGGGCTTGCTGAAGGTGGCCCTTTAGCGGAGACTCGAAGGAAGCCAGTGCTAGTCTGTAATAAAGGAAGCTAACTCTATGTAAATATATGATATCTATAGTATCATAACATATATAAATATGTATACTCTAACAAGTTAGCTGAAGCTGACTTTACACAGGTGGCTAATTCAGTTATGGATCCAGTAAGCTTCATTTTTATGATGTCCTGGTGCCTGCTGACTTCCTACCCAAAGAAAGTATTAATAATCCATGGGCATGATTTTTATAGGCATTACTTGTATAATTGGATAGAATGACCAGATTTGGAAGAAAATGTCATTTGGGGTTTTTCAGTTGAGGAGGCTTTGAGAAGACCAAAGCCTACAGTCCCTGTTTGAACAAATACTACATGTACTCCCTTATTCCAGTTGGTAACCTAGACATGATATAAGGCATTTCTTTTACTGTTGGGGCTCTGTAAGGATGTTCATGAGGTCTCACTGATGGGCGGAGGCCCCTCTCGGCTGCTTGATCTATGAGCAAAGGTGGCCTGGTTCGGTGCTCCATTCTATGCATCTCTAACTTCCCTAGTTACTCGTTAGTCATTAACAGTGTATTTGTGATTACTAGTAGATAAGTGCATGGACTGTGCATGCACTGTCCTTGAGCACAGCATGGGTTATACGTCATTGTAACTTGAGAAAGATTGCCTGTTATTTTACTATATCAGTAAGTGCTTTGCTAAAAATAAAAGGAGTTGCTGCCATCTTTTCTCCCAACTCATCAATGCGTGCTCGGAGTGAAAGATCAAGCTGGTCTTGATTCTTCAGGTGATTTGGAAATCCTAGGTCCTAGGTAGGCTCTGTAGCCGAGTGAACTAGTTGTGTACAACATTTTACTCCTTTAATTGTTCAATTTTTTGAAACTCTTCTTTGGTTTTGAATTTTTAGGGAACTCTGAAGATAGATCTTTGTAGCTCTACCACCTCAACATAGTGATGCATGTCCAAAGAGTTGTACTGAATTCCCGACCTGGTATGTATTTGTTTATGATTAACATACAGCTGTGTCTACTCGTTACTTCTTTTTTTTTACTCTTTTTTCTTTTTTTCTTTTTCTTTTTTTTCCTTTTTTTTCATATGCTTTTGAGTTGAAAATTTTTCTCCCTTTCCCTCCCCCCCACCCTCCCCAAGATGGCGCACAATCTGACACACAGGCTTTACATTTACATACCCATTACACATATTTTCACATTACTGAAGTTGTAAGTAAAAATTAAAACCAATAAGAGGAACCATCAGAAAGATGAAACAAAACTCAACAGAAGGTAAAAATAAGTGATAGCAATTCTACTTCCATAGTTCTTTCTTTGGATGTGGACAGCATTTTCCATCCTGAGGCCTCTGGAAATGTCTTAGATCCTTGTAATGCGGAGAAGGGTTCAGTTTAACATTCTTAGTCATTGCATTACTTGTTACTTCTTAAAGAGACAGAAGTAATAATAACAGTTGTTGACCTGAAATGCAAAAACAAAGGTGATAGAAAATAATGTTATGTTAGAAAAATGTCCACAGTGGTACAGAGACCAAAGTATGTGAGCAAACATCTGTAATACTCTTCTTTATATTCCTTGACCTTGAATCCTTTGCAATAATTAAAATAATACTAAGTAGAATAGATTCTTCTTACTTGTTCTTTTTCAAATTTATTAGGATATTTTAAATGTATTTTCCTACTTCTTATACAAAGCATTGATCTACTTCTATACCATTTGTTTAATCGTAGAAGCTTAGAACTAAGAGAGGTTCCAGAGGTTGTCTGCTTCATCCCATGATAGGCTTTATGTATTCTACAGGTTGTCTATCAACTCATACTCTTAAAGACCTTCCCAGAAGGTAAAGTCTCTTGATGGATCTATTTTTCCTATTCTACCCTGAGTGACTATACAATAGATTAGCAAATAGAGACCTGGTTCAAATCCTGGCACTACCACTTATAACTCAGGTAAATCACTCACCTCTTGGGAACTCAGTTTCCTTGTTTATAAAATTAAGAGATTGGACTAGAATGCCTAGAAGTCCTCCAAGTATGGCTGGGGGCCTCTGAAGGTCTCCAAGTCAAAACAGTATTCATAATAGTACTGAGATATTTTAATTTCTAATATGGTAAAAGCTCATAAATATAACCCATACAAACAAAGGATCTGTCCAATTTCAAATTGTATGTGTCAGTCAGTTACTAAACATTTCTTTATTACATGCTTACTATTTGCTAGGCGATATGCTAAGCACTGGAATATGAAAGTGTGAATCTCCATTTAATACCACTTTCTTTAAAAAAAAAAGCACGTAAATAATTCTGTCTATTAACTTTCAAAACTGGGCCTGCTCATATATGCTTCCTTCTGAATTTCCTTCTGTTCCTTCTTATGCTTGTAAAAAAAAATGCTTCAGTGGCCCTTCTTTTTGTGGGGGAGAATGATTATTGCTAACCACCCATAGCCCCACTCTCTTTCAACCTCTCCCCTTTCCCCCAATTTAAAATGAAGAGAAAGTGCAGTGGAGGGAAAAAATGGACTAGTCAGAAGACCTGGGTTTGAATCCTGCTTCTATGTCAGTTAATTTTTCTGGATTTCTGTTTTCTCATCTGGAAACTTAGGACAATAATTTCATTACCTACCTCACAAACTTACTGTGAGTTATTATTATTCTTATACTGTGTATGTCATCAACAAATGAACAGAGGTTAATCCAATTTACCTATCTACATGTCACACCAAGCTATGTATAAATTCATTTTTTCCTCAGTTGCTTTTTGCTGTTACACAAATTCTTCTGACATCTTCCTATAGGGTTTTGCCAATGAGCTGCCCTGTCTCTCTGCTTGACAAGGAGATTAAGTGTCGTATCTAACCAGTGTCATTTCTCGGCTTTTGCAGCCTCTGTGTTATGGTGACTATTTTACATCCATTAAATTTCTGAAGAAAACAGCAGTCATTGTAGACAGTTTTATTTTGGAGTTGACAACTTGTTTAAAATCATGTTGCTGCAATTATAGTAGTGATTCGCCTTCACTTCTGGCCTTTCTTCTAATTTAGTACTTTTTTGTTTTTTATTTTTATTTTTGGTTCCAAATTCTCTCCCTCTCCCACCTATTGAGAAAGTGAGAAATAAGGTACCCATTACACATATGAAGTCTTGCAAAACATTTCCACATGAGCCATGTTAGGGTGGAAAAAGGCAAGACAAATAAAATGAAACAAAGTTTCAGTTTGTACTCAGGTCATCAGCTCTCTCTCTGGAGGCGGACAGCGTATTTCATCAAGAGTCCTTTGGCATTGTTGGTCATTGTATTGATCAGAGGAGCTATGTCTTTCCCAGTACATTATTATATCATTGTTGTTACTGTGTACAATGTTCTGCTTCACTTTGTATCAGAGCAAACCTGTCTTCCCAGGTTTGCCTGAAGCCAGCTCCTTCATCATTTCTTACCACACAGTAGTATTCTATTACAATCCTACATGTGGTGTTTACTTTAACCTTTGCTCTAACCAGTCAATGATTTGGTTGCATACACACGGTTGATTCTATAGCAACTGCTATGTTTGTCCTCAATTTTTTTCTGTTTGATAGAATATTTTATGGATTTCATTTTTGTTTTGTGCTCACCAAGGACAGTGATAAATAGTCTATGAACTTTTGTTCTTTTTTCATGAATCATATTTCCAAAAGATTTTCTGGTTTTTTTTTTTAAATCCCCATGTTTGCAATGAATTGATTAAGTATCAAAGTCCATGTTAGTTAAGCTGCAATCATCTTTACACTGATATGTTTGCTTATGCTTACCTGGAGCACTGAAAATCAGGATGACAAAATATCTCATACCAAGTTAACCTTCCCTGCCGTTGGGCTTATGAGTAAAAAAGCAAAGCAAAACAAAAACAAAACGAAAAACCACCTCTCCAAATTGTTTTGTTTTCTTTCTGAAGTACACTTCCAAATTGTTCTTAAAAATATCTATCATGGGGCAGCTAGGTGGCGCAGTGGATAGAGTATAGGACCTGAGTTCAAATCCAGTCTCAGATACTTACTAGCTGTGTGAACCTGGGCAAGTCAATTAACCCTGTTTCTTTATTTGTTTTTTGTTTATAGGCAGTTGGGGTTAAGTGACTTGCCCAGGGTCACACAGCTAATGTCAAGTGTTTGATCTGAGGCTGGATTTGAACTCAGGTCCTCCTGACATCAGGGCCAGTGCTCTATCCACCTAGCTGCTCCCAATTAACCCTGTTTGTCTCAGTTTCCTCATCTGTAAAAATAAACTGGAGAAGGAAATGGCAAACCACTCCAGTATCTTTACCAAGAAAATCCCAAATGGGGTCACCAAGAGTCAAACACAGCTGAAAATGACCAAACAGCAACAATAGAATATTATGGCAAAAGATTGAAAATGTAGTACAATTCAAAACGGAAGGTCCATGTCAAAGCACTAGTAGAGAAAGCAATTTAACTGGAAATCTGAAGGTTTCAGGTATCAGTGCTGGCTCTGCCAACAACACCTTGTATAACTGAGGGCAAATCATTTAGCCTTTGTGGACCTCCATTCCCATAAAATGAGAGAGTTTGGAACCAGATGATCTTTAGGGGCCTTTTTAACTTGAAAGAGCTTGTCATTCTATGCTATGATTTTATGTTTGTGATTTATTTTAATCGTACTATCTATGGGAAAATTAATATGATAACATATCCTTTTAAGACTTGAGTAGGGCTGTGATCCCATTGACGTGGGTTCTCCTGCCCCCAGAGCAGGGCCTTGTTCTAGGTCTCTTGCCATCACTATTATAGCACATGGATAATTAATTCTTTGCTCTTCCTATATTTTCTGTTCACACATCTCTGATGGTATCTTGCATGACACTTAAACAAATGTAATTTCATCATTTATTAGGTAATTTTCTGCAGCCTACTTATACCCACTGTGCCAAGCCCATGTTCACCTGCAGCATCTGTCCAAGATATAAGATCATAAGTTCATAGTCTTAGGGGGGAAAGGGATCTTAGAGGTCACTGAGTCCACCTTCTTTCTCATACCAGTAAGGAATCTGAGGCCCAGAGAGATTAAGTGACTTAACAAAGCTCAACCCAGGTCTTACCCCATATTGACTGCTCTTTCCACTGAGTAGGACCGGCATTTTATGGGTGGACCTCATTATTGGTTTTCCATCCAGCTGCATATAATTGTCTGGGCAGTTAGCTTTCTTCATCCATAAGATTCTTCCTGTGTATATAGTTAGGCCATACTCTTTTGAGTAATCATGGAATGTTGATGATTTGAAAATTAGTCTTTATTTCAGAGAAAAGTTTGAGGGGCACAGAAAGCAGTGTCCATTTCTTTTCAAATGTAGTCCAGCAGAACGGTTTTAGGGAAACCTCGGAAGACTTGTGTGAACTGATGGAAAGTGAAATAAATAGAATTAGAACAATTTATACACTGACAACATTGTAAAGGCAAACAACTTTGAAAGACTTAATAACTTTGGTCAATTCAGTGTCCAGCCATAATTCTAGAGGACTGGTGATAAAGCATGCTACTTGGCTCCTGACAGAGAGGGAATGTATTCAAGCTGCAGATCACACACACACACACACACACACACACACACACACACACACTCACTCACTCTCTCTCTCTCTCTCCCTCTTTTGGATGAGGTAGTTAGGGTTAAGTAACTTGCCCAGAGTCACACAGCTAGTGAGTGTTTATGTGTCTGAGGGCTGGATTTGAAATCACGTCCTTTTGACTCCAGGGAGGTACTCTATCCACTGTCCCAGCTAGCTGCCCTCTTAGACATATATTTTTGGACACAGCTGTTGTGGGAATTTGTTTTCCTTGACTATTCATGTTTGTCTCAAAAGTTTTTTCTTCTTAATTTGAGTGGGAGGAGGAGGTAAGGGTAGCATTGCCATTAAAAAAAAAAAGAGGATCATTAAAACATGTTTTTTGAAATGAATACAAGAGGACAGAGAAAGGCCAAAAAGATCAACATAAAAGTTGGACAGCTTTGAAAGCAATATGCTTCATTTAACATATACTTAAAAAGAAGAGCAATCTGTTCTTAATGGAGATTGAGTTTCATGTACAGTCCTGTCTGTCCTTTTGCATATATGGAAGTGCTTATTTTCGTTGATGTTTGTAAAGGTCAGAATAACAAAAACTGGGGGAAAACCTCCAACTGAAATCTGATTTACTCTCTCCCTTCTGTTCATTTCTGGGCCCAATTTGTTGTCAATCTGCTGTATCTGTCCAACATATATGTACTGATAGACTAGCTATGTAGGTTGTCCATTCTACTAATTATCATAGTCTTAACCATGGACATTCTTTAAAAAAAATGATCATTTCCTCCCTCACTTGTAACAAAAAAAGTACAGCTAAACAAAATAAATCCGTCCCGACAGGGGACATCCTTCATTTACTTGATTGTACCTGTGAACTCTTTTGTGGTTATGGACCTCATATAGGAGACCTGCTGTGTTCTAGGAATTGATGTAATCAGTACAAATGTCATCCATAAATAGGATTACCTAGAAGATCTTACCAACTTGGAGGAATAAATTTTATACTCTCTATTTTAGGCACAAGCCTGCCAGAAACAATTTTTATTAATTTAGACTATCCTAATTTAGGATTTTTACTTAGAAAGAAACATTTCCACCCTATGACCCTGAAAATCTCTCTCAACCAAGCAGTTTGGGAGTTGTAGCATTATTGTGACAATAGATAAAATTCCAGAATGAGATAAAACATTGTTTTGGTGGTCAGGGTAAAGTTCAGTTAATATTTTACCTCATTAAACAGAGCAACAGTTATGTAATTTTCTGCACATCCTTGAGGAATTATTTTCTTAAAATCATTCCAGCCCTCTTTGACCATTCCCTCTAAGGATTCTCCATTCCAGCTGATCACTGTTGCTAGATATTTCCTCTCTACACTTCTGTTATTGACTCACTATTGTACTGTCCTGAGTGGCTCTTCCAAACCTTTTCATCATTACATGTGTGCTAAAACCTGTGATTCTTAGCATCTGCTGCCTAACCACACATTCTTGTTTTTGTTGTCTGCTTTTAGAATTCATTTTTTTTAGGATTTAAATTCTCATATTTTGGATGAGTATGCAATTATCATCCTTATACATAAGGATGGGAAATTTTTCTACACACAGTTGAATGTGAGAGACAGCACTGACATAGTGAATGGAGAAAGGCAGGCCACAGAGTCAGAAAGAGTTGATTAAGTCTTGAATTTTTAAATCTTGAGAACTAAAACAAAACCTTTTTTTTACTTTGTAAATCCTTCCCTAACTTTCATAACTGGTGGTTAGGTAGTTTAAAAATGAAAGGTTTAGTGATAAAAGTCTGATATCTGAGTTATGTAAGAAAAATGACACAAATATATAATACCAAAGAACTGTTCTTCCCTAGATCAGTAGTCAAAGATTAACAGTTTTCAAAGAAGAATTCAAGGTATAAGTAGTAGATCCTTGGAAAACATGCTGCCAAATAAGCATAGAAGGAACCTAGGTGGTGGAGTCTGAATGACCTCATTTTCATTGTGCATTGAATGTTTATTAGCTGTGTGTCCTTGGGGGAGTCACTTAACCTCTCAAAGTCTCAATTTCCTCTTCTTTAAAATGGGGATGATAATAATAACACCTTCCTCTCAAGGTTGTTGGGAGGACAAAATGAGATATACTGCATAAATAGCTTTTTGCAAATGACAATATAAATGTAGCTATTATTATTTGCTTTATCATATAATTAGTAATCAGAGAAATTCAAATGAAAGCAACTCTGAGATTGAATTTCACACTATGCATATTGGGGGAGGGAAGGGATAAGCATTTGTAGGGTGCTTGGCACTGTGCTAAGCACTTTACACATATCTCATTTGATTGAATTGGGAAAAGTGACCCCAAAATTGGAAAGTTTATTTTTGTAGGGTCTTTGCAAGATAGGCACACTAATATACTGTTTTTAGATCTTTGAATTGGCTCAGCTATTCTGCAAAACAACTTTTAATTAAGCAAGAAAAGTGTCTATATTGTCCATATCCTTTGCCTCATTCATCCTACCTTTGGGCATATATCTTGTATAATCCTATAGAAACAAAAGTCTAGTATGTGCCAAAACGCTAATTGCATCACTCTGTGGATTTCCAAGATTAGAAACAAAGTGGGTGCCCATGAATTGGAGAATGGCATCTGAATATAATAGACTGTTATTGTGCATTAAGAAATGTTAGAAAAATCTGAAACACAAATCTACTACAAGAGTGAGTGAAGGAAAGCCTACATTGGGCTTCTCCCTAGAGAGAAGCGGCACAGTGCACATTAGTAGCATGTGGGTGCTGGTTCAGTGCTACAATCAACTTTTAAATAGTAAGATCCATACGCCACCCACCAGGGCTAGCATTGGTCTAGTTCATCTGAGTTACACTCTTCCTGGACAACCCATGTTGTGTTCCTCCTTGTCATGTGTCGTCATGCCTCCCATGATAAAAAATGGCGGCTATCTCTGTCCGTGGGTGTGTCAGTCAATCTTTAATAAGCTTGTTAAGCAAGCACTATGGAGAAAATTGTTTGCCCTGTCCAGGCCCAGTCCTTTACCAGGATGGTTGCAACAGGTTTAGCCTCCAGGGCTGTTCAAAGGAACTAGTTGTTTACAGAATGTTTAGTACACTTTCTGATTGGTTGAGAGGCTATCCACAAGATCTTGGAATTCCTTATTCTGCTGTGGAAGCCTAACCCCCTAAAACCTTTCCTACAAGAAATGATGAGTGTATCTCTGGGCAAGACACTTAACCTTTCAGTGCCCCAAGCAAGCAAGCAAGTTTATAAGTTGTAGAGTGAAGATAAGGAGCTCTCAATACCTGGTTTCTTCATCTTTTCACTGAACATTTGCACAGTATTACCAAGAAAACTGATAAAGGGGAATTCAGAGAAACAGGGAAATGTTCATTTCATGGGCAATGTGAACTGATGCAGAGCAAAACATGCAGCATTAAAAGAATACTATAAAGTAGGAACACAATGATATAGATGAAAATTTAAAAGGAAGTTGGAAGGTGAGTAATTGGAAAACCAGTAAGGATTCCAGAAAACGGATCATGAAACGTAGTACCCTCCTCACATTAAAGAGGTAGGTGAGTTCTAGGGCCTAATGTTATATAAGTTGTCAGATGCAATCTCTATATCTCACGTTTTTGCTTAACTGTTTTTGTCACATGGTAGAGTTAGGGGTGGGGATTCCAAGAAATGACTTTGAGGTAAATACAATAAGAATCAATACAACTTTAAAAATTTATCACAAGATTTGTGGGTAATACCAATTGTAAAATCTGTAGTTTCAAAGGAATATTTTTGAGAAAATCAGCAGCAATTGGAAAATAATTTTGTCTAAGTAGGTCATTTAAAATTGTCGAGAAATGCAGGCATTACTCAGTTCAATTCAATAGGCATTTATGAAATGCCTTCTAAAACACTGGGGATATAGATTTTAAAAAAAGACTGTGTTCTCAGGGACTGCTTACAATCTAATGGGGAGGAGAGGAATTATATGGAGGGGAAAGGGGAGAGTAGCAGTGCAGCACCAGGGCATACCCAGCATGGGGGCATCATGATGTTCTGTGGATTGGAAACCATGCAGATCTGCTGGTGGAAAATGGAGTTACCTGCAAAGTTCTGAGCTCTCTATAAAGGAAGGCTTTGGGAGGAGCGTATTGCTTTATCCTGCAGCCCTGTCATCAGAGGGGAGAGGCCACTGAGGGAGTTGAGAAGGTGTTGATTATCACAACCTGGGTCAGTCTGCATGGTGGTGAGATATCAGTTGATCAGCTTATCCTGGAGGAAGCATGATGTTGTATGGAGTGGAAGCTGAGCAGAACTGCTGATGGGAAATGGACATTTCAAGTGAATAAGGGAATGATTGCTAAAGGGAATTATTTTAGAAAATAATAGTTAAGAGAATGATTATTCAAAAACATTTTTATTGCCTCTTTCTTTACCCAACAATTATTTTAGGAACACATGGCACACCAGTGGCAGAGAATTTCCGTACAGAAGAGGCTGATTTACCAGATAAATTAAATGTGGGACAAGTAAAAGCCAGAACTCTTTATCTCTCTGTGGATCCTTATATGGTAAGTAGCAAGGTGCTGTGATTAAAATAACAATAATAATAGTAATAATAAATTTTATGAGAATAAGCTACATGTGAATATAGAATATTATTGAAAAGGGTATTAGAAGGGAACAATTAGGCTGTTACACGCACAAAGCCTATCTCAGCCGTCACAGGATTGAGTAAAAGGCGGAGAGAATATACAATTCAGCTGTGTTTCTTGTTTGTTCATTATGAAAAAAAGCATTTCATTTAGTCAAACACAATGCTGCCATACAGGCTTTCCTCTACAAGATATCTCTGTGTATATAGCATAATTATGAGATTCCTTGGAATATATAAGGGATAACCTTTTCTTGCAATCCTGTGCCCTTTAATTTTAGGTGAGATATATACTCACTCACCTAAAGCATTCAGCTTTGATATAGGGGAGCTTCAGCACAGAGTTCAAGTCAGAATGGGATTCCTTAGAGAAAGTGAAGTTCCCTAAATCTTCCTATTTGTGGCTGACATTGTAGTGAATTCATTTAGCCCTCAACATTGCACAGCCTCTCTTTACAAATACTTTATTTTTATTATGAACTTGACAAACATCAACATAAATTAACATTTTCTATAGAAAGAATAGAAAATGAAGATTCCTTATGAAATCTCTAATCCGTATAGTTTTTTTAGTAGGTTTTTTCTCATTCAAACTAAACATGGTAGTTCTAATATTGTCCTGTTTTTCTATGTCCCTTTCTTCTTTCTTCTTTTTATTTTACAAAATAATTTGCTGACAGTTGTTTCTTACTTTCCTTTCTTTCTTTTTTAAGTATGGCTATGAGTACTGACCCTTCTCCTACCAAAACAAAAGTCCTTCCTTCTAACAAGTAAATATGGTTACTCAAAACAAAGCCATGCACTGGCTCTTTTGGTAAATACATGTCTCATTCTGCACCTGTCGATCATCACATGTCTGCCAGGTCTTTATCAGTGTTGTTTGCATTGGTTTTAGTTATTTAATGTTTCACAGTTGTTTTTCCTTACAATGCTGTAGTCATTGTTTACTTAGATCTCCTGGTTGTGCTCATTTAGTTCTGTTTCACTTCATACAAGTCCTCGCAGGGTTCTTTAAGTCTATCTCGTTGCTCATTTCTTATGACAAAATAATCAATGAAGAAATATTTAGGGGCAGCTAGGTGGTGCAGTAGATAGAGCTGAGTTCAAATCCAGTGTCAGACCAAAGGCTTGACACTTTCTAGCTGTGTGATCCTGGGCAAGTCACTTCACCCCAATTGCCTGAAAAAAAAAAGCAATATTTATCAAGTGCCTACCATGTGCCAGGCATATGTGCCACAGACAGGTAGGTGGCACAGTGAATAGAGTGCCAGGCCTGGATTCAGGAAGACGAGTTCAAATTCAGACTGAGATACTTATCAGCTCTGTGACACTGGGCAAGTCGCTTAACCTCTTTTCCTCAGTTTCCTCATCTGTAAAATGAACTGGAGACAGAAATGGCAAACCACTGCAGTATCTTTGCCAACAAAATCCCAAGTGGGTCACAAAGAGTTGAACACAACTAAAACTGGTCAACAACAACATGTGCTAAGCACTGGGGATACAAAAAGAGGTGAAAGATAGTCCCTGCCCTCAAGGAGCTTACAATCTTTTTTTTTTTGAGCTTACAATCTAATGAGGGAAACCACATGCCAACAAATATATACAAAGCAAGCTATATTCAGGAGAAGTAGGATATAATTAATAGAAAGAAGGCCCTGGAATTTAGAGGGTTTGGGGAAGGCTTCCTGTAGGAGGCAGAATTTTGTTTGGGACTTAAAGGAAGCCAGGGAGGTCATTGCATTCATATCCCATAATTTGTTCAGCTACTATATGCTACTATAAATATTTTTGTGCATGTTGGTCCTTTTCCTTTTTCTTTGATCTTTTTGGAGTATAAGCCTAATAGGGGTATCACTGGGTCAAAGAAGAAACACAGTTCAGTAATATAGTTGAATATAATTCCACATCACTTTCAAGAATGGTTAGACCACTTCACACCACTTCTAGTGGTTCATTAGTGTGCCTTTCCTGCCTTAACCCTTCCTATAATTGTAATTTTCGTCTCTTGTCATTGCTAATTTTTATTTGCATTTTCATTTGCATTTCTTTTATTGTTATTGATTTGAAGCATTTTTTCCACATAATTCTTGATAATCTGCTTCTTTGGAGCACTGCATGTTCATCTCCATTGACCTTTTATCCATTAGGGAATAGGTTTGGTTCTTACATAGATTTTGGATAGATCTTGGATCTCAGACCTTTATCAAAGAAATTTGCTGTGAAGATTTTTTTTGTTTTCTTAATTGTTTTTCTTCTAATTCTAAATGCATTTATTTTGTGCAAAAATCCCTTTGATTTTATGTAATTAAAATTGTTTAGTTTCTCTTCTGTGATAATCTCTATCCTTTGGTCAACAACTGTTTTCTCATAGTGGTGAAAGTTCTCTCTTTTCTTACTCCTGTAATTAGTTAATATTATATAATTTTGTGAATCTAGGTCTTGTGTGCCTATCTTTATTACTGTAAAGTATGTCTTGATAGCTGGACTCTCATTTTGATGCATTTGATAGTTATTTTTAAAAAATTTCTCTCTCCCCCTTGTTTGGTAATATACAGGAAAGCTGATGATTTTTGTGGATTTATTTTATACTCTTTTGTTTCCTGAAATTGTTGATTGTTGCCTGTGTAGTTTCTCTCAATAAATCTTATGTCATAAGCAAAAAGTCACAGTTTTGTTTCCTCTTTGCTTATGATTGTTCCCTTAATTTTTTTTTCTTATTCCTGTATAGCTAGTATTTCTAGACCTATATAAAATGTCTTGAGAATAGACATCTGTGCTTTACCTCTAATCTTCCTGGAAAAGACTCTAACTAGAGAGCCTCTTAAAAACAATCCACAAGTATTCTAAAAATTTTGGCCTACTGGCCAGATTATAATATGCAGCTGGATGTACAGCCTAGAGATTGTCCATCAGTCTGTGCAAATTAATTGACCCTCATATTGAACAGGGGATAGCATGCTATATTCCCTTTGAGAAACCACAGAAGTTTTTTGTTGTTTTCTTGTTCTTTTCTTTTTAGTGATTCAGACCTTTTCTAGGAGACTAAGGTTAATATTTTTTAAATTTAATTTACTATTTATTTTTTACATTCTATCCTTTTTAAATTTTGAGTCCCCAATTCTCTTACTCCCTCCCCCTACTGAGAGAGAAAGCAATACAATATTCATTATACATGTGAAATCATGCAAAACATTTCCAAGGGCATCAGTATTCTTCTAGTGGTGGTGTTCTGCATTTCAATCATGGAATGCTGCAGTCTCTGCAAAACTAACACTGAAAATCATCCAAAGAAGGAAGTAATTTTATGGCATTTTGTAGATTGTGTGATTAATTTAGAAAGCCCTAAATAATCAGCCTTTATGAATTGAATTAATTAATCATTTCAACAAAGTTGCAAGATACAAAAATGTAATTGAATACTAATGTGCCATAAGAAACTACTAAGATAAAGAATTGGTTGGGGGGGAAGAGTTGAGGAAACCAAGGGAAGATATGTGAATTGATGCAAAGTGAAATAAATTGAAACAAATATATATCTATATGCATACACACACATACACACACACACACACACACACACACAAAATATAAATGGAAAGAATAAAAAAGTACATAGGAATACTACATGATTATAATGACTGAGTTTGTCCCTGAAGAAGAGATGAGAAAATATACCTCCGTCTCTTACTTGTAGAAGTAGAGGGACTATAGTTATAGAATATTTCATAAACTGTCAAACTGGGCTGATGTGTTCATTGGGGTTTGTTGTGATGCTTTCCCCCCCTTATTCTTTGCTATGAGACATGTTTCTGTGTGAGGAAGTATGGAGCCGTATATTTGGAAATGAAGTTGATGTATAAACAGATGATATCAACAAAACATTTTATAAAGGAGGAAAATGTGTGCAATGGATAATGGTTAGCCAGCCTGTATAATTCCCTCATTCATTCAAGCATTCATTAAGTTCTTCATAAGTACCAGGCATTGAGCTAAGCACCAAGAATACAAGGAAAAAGGAAAAAAGAGTTCATTCCCAAAAGTAACTTGTAGTGGTATCATCATGATGTCCAGATAGTGCATGCCCCTAGAATCATGGGTGGACCTCCTGTAAGTTCACCATAGGACAAGAATCACATAGGGTAGAGAGGCATCAATGGGCTGTACTTTTCACCCTTAGAGTATGTAATATTGAGAAGACCACAGGTCTCTTAGAGCTTCCAGTCTCCAAAGTAAGGTATTACTGGCATTATGCCAAGGGGTTTGTGATCAGTCGGTCAGAGGGTAGGAAGATGAATCACTTCTCACCCTGCCCATAATAGCCAATCAAAAGGCTTGTTTCCAGCACAACTGTACCAGTTCCTATGCCTTACCACTCCTTTGTTCCTTTCCATCCTTCTGCTGTGCAAGCTCCTAAGCTCCCCACCTCAGACCTGGAGGGGGAAGGAGTGATAACCTAGCTGGGATCCAAGTATCCATAGCAATGGCAGTGAAAGTGCCTCTGGGAAAATCCCTCTTCACTGCATAGCCACCATTTGGCAGACACCCCTTGGAGGGTAAGCTCTACTTTCTGAGACCAGAACCAGGAGAGTGAAAGCCTACCTCTTTCCTTGTTACTTTGGGTGGGGCAGTCAACAAGTTGAACAAGCATAGAAAAGTTTGTCTCATTACATTATCTTTCTGCCAAATGTCTCCTTTTCAAACATTTCTGTTACCATTGAGGACACAACCATCCTTCCATTCACTTAGGTTTACAACCTAAGTGTCATTGTACACGCCTTGCTCTCCTTTACCTCACATATCCAGTCAGTTGTCACATCTTGTCATTTCTGAATCCACAACCTCTCGCCTTTTCCCCATGTACACAGCCACAGCCCTAGTACAAGGCTTCATCACCTCATGTTCAGACTATTGCAGTAG